CGGCCGCGATGTTGGCTTGGCGGAAATGCCAGATCATAGGGGCCATACAGAGGAGCCAGGATGGGAAGGCAAAAGCGGGGAAGAGGATGGCGGATGGATAGAGAGGGGCGTTTGGTCCGAAGAATTCTGGGTGGGCAGTCATGAACTCCATCATGGCCGAGATTGGATCCATTACAACCTCTGCGTAACTTGGTGTAAAGAGGAGGAAAAAACAGAAGAAGGTAGATAGTCTCTTGTGATGTTGTAAACTCGGAGACCTGGATCCAGTCCACGAATGTAACCGTCGTTGAAGGGATTTCGTTGGAACTGTTGATGCTACTATCTCCAGGATAGATTGTTAGGTTGCGTTGGGATTTTAATATATGAAAGAGATTGTAACAAGAGGAAAAAGAGACAGAGTAGTGAGCAGTCGACAAGCAGCGTTGTGGACTTCATCACTCCATGCTATGGCCGAGTATGTAGGAGGTTCAATAGAGAATTCCGATGTCTCAAGCTTCAATACGGCTCAATAGGATCTTTTGGTCGACTTACGTTCACTTGAGTGGTGAAAGCCAATCTGTCGCTCGCATGGCATCTCTCTTATTGCGCTTGCCAACGTCAACCACAGTCTTTCTGAAACGCACTGATCCGTCGCTTCGGCACAGCGGTGCCTAGTGCTCGCAATATCTGGTTGCTGTGCTGTGGTGGTGGTGGTGGTGCTGAGACCTCGACTACTCCGCATTTGGGTTTGAATAGAAAAAGACTACGAAAAGACGACATCTGAATAGATAACCAACAAGAAGGAGACGAGACATGTCTGTGATAACTAGCAGGAGCAATCAGAGAATAGAGGAATGGGAAAGAAGGTGTTGAGTCCCCGCACATGTGGCATGGTTGCAGGTCGGGTTATACGTAGCGGGTTTATCCAGATTATCCAGTCCTGCAGTGATATGCGTCTAGGAACTGGTGTTGAAGCGCTAAGTCTTTTATGTATCTGTCGCAATCGGAGTCCGAAAGTGAGTGTTGGTGGACGAGAAGCTGCGCGATGAATCGTCGCATTCAGGTCGGAAGCACCGGGCATGAGGATACTAACTCAATCCTGTGTTCGTCGAATGTTATACTACCCTTGAGACTTGCACGAGTCTCTGCAGCGCTTTGTCGTCTCTTTGATCCCCGCAAGATACGCTGGGTTACACAGCAGTAGGTTGCCACACGTGCGGCATGGTCGAAGTGGTTGCCATCGACTGATTGCCCGGAGATACAAGGAATGGTCAATACCACTTGACAGCACCTTGACGCCGCGAAGGATTCCCGGATGAGTCTGCCAATATGTTGAAGGCTGGGCGATAGCGCATGTCGTGAGGGAGGTCGGACAGGGACCCAGCTCTACAACTGACCCAAGCAAGCCATGACGTAAGGCAAACGACTCGCTCCGAGGCGTCTTCCACTACGGCACACGACCGTCTGGTTAGTACGTGGGAGCATTACCAGAGCCTCCGCCATGCTTCCACGGCGCCTGCAACCATCGCGATCAGGTGATCCGCATTTCTGTCACGTCGCGCCTTGAAACGACGTCTAGGCACCAATCGACAACGCTGTCCTACACGTTGCTTCTTCCCAGCGCCAACCAGTTCCCGGAGGTCCGTCATGGACACTGCGCCGGCCGATGGACAAGGCATTCACCCTCAACTTCGCCAGAGGATGTTGAACCGCGCCGCCACGTTTGCTGAGGGTGCGCGGCCTTCCACTCCACCTACAGCACCCCCTCGACGCCGCAGTTCCCTCGTTTCCGACCTGTCCGACTCGCGCTATTCGTTGCGATCGTCCAGCGACAGTCTGCTTAGAACGAGTGGGAGGAATGACATGGACAAATATGCGACTTCGGATGAGCCGTCACGGTGGCTTGCGCTGCCTGTTGTGGCTGCCGTCGTGCCTGCCATCATTGGGCTGACAGTAGACAACGGCGCAGACGTCGCTACAGACGTGTTGATACTGGTATTAGCGGGGTGGTTTCTACATTGGAGTGTCAAAGTACCATGGTGAGTGCAGCAATGCAGTAACTATACGTGAATTCCATAGCTAACGCGATGCAGGGACTGGTATCATGAAGCACAGCAACGACGATACCTAAACGACGATGTAGATGACGCGACATACGACGACACGATACACGAGGAAGACGAGGATGCGCCGGAAAGCATTGGGGAGCCTGTAGGAGAGTCGCAAGATCCAAAGCCCAACACTACAATCAACGCGCCGGCCTCGCAAGCGCAGAAAGAAGCCCGCGAAGCATTGAAGCGATCAGAGATGTTAGCATTCGTTGGCTGCTTCCTAGGTCCTCTACTCGGCGCCCTGCTCATGCACACCATCCGCGGCCAACTCATGCGCGCTGAAGGCATAGTATCCGACGCCAACCTCAGTATATTCCTTCTCATCGCCGAGATTCCACCCGTCAACCGCCTGATCAAGATGCGGACAGAGCGCATCCTCCACCTCCAGCGCATCGTCCGAGAAGCTCCAAGGGAGCCAGTTCGATCAGCAGACACACAACAACTCTCACAGCGGATCTCAGAACTAGAAGGTCGCGTCGATGGCGTGCAGACTACCAATAACAATAACAACGAGGTAGACGTGGAGAAACTCAGCGCAGAAGTCCGACAAACAACCCAACTCCAACTCGATGCCCTAAACCGCGCAGTTAGGCGCTACGAAAAGAGACATATGGCGCAATCCCTACAAATCGAAGCCCGCTTTCAAGATCTAGAAGCACGACTGAAAGATGCACTTGCCCTGGCTGCCGCGGCAGCCAGGACTGGTCAGCGACCCGGTGTGATTGCTATGACGCTGAGCTGGATTGCTGGTACTATCAGCTACATGTTGCAGGTGGCTTGGGACGTTGTCATGTATCCCTTCCGTACAGCGGTTGTTGCGGTTTCAATGGCTAAGAGTCTGTTTGTGAGAGACGAGCGGCGGGTGAGACGGAAGGGGAAAGGTGGTGGAGCAGCGCAAATGAATGGGCACATGGGTGTCGCGACAGGAAGGCTGCAGGCGAAACCTGCGCGATAGATTACTCTCCTCTATTAATACACCTATTTCGATTCCTTCGGATTTCAGTATCAGAGCTCGTGCTCGTTGTCTCCACGGGTGTAATGTATGCTATCGGCATAAATGTTGCACGGAGTAGCGAGAGTTGACGCCGATACCGGCAAAGACACCGAACTCCTATCACGAACCCTCGTACCACAACCACCCGGAGTCATCCGAAACAGTAACCCGAAAATGCAGGTAACGTACATACTCCGGAGGGTAGTTATCGTTACTCGTCCAACCAGGACGCGCCAGAAAGTGGTTAATTCGACTTACTACAAGTTATGTAGGGCCGGGTTTATACGAAATACCCCGCCCCCACTTTGATAGCCAGAGCTCGTGGTATGGCCGTTGGCGGGCCCCGATGTGACATGTAACGTAACAATCGATGATTGCTAGTAACCTGTTTGTTATATACTTTCCTATTACACTCCGCTGCTCTCCGAACTTTTTTTGTAATCTCATTTTCTGAAACAAAAAACTCCTTTGTACAGGTTTGGAACAACTTGGGAAGAAAGAGTAAGGGAGTAAACAACATAGTGATTCAGCCATGTCACTAGAATCCGACGTCAAGATCCCCGCGGCGAAGTTTGACCGCAGCACGATTGACAAGCAGACACTCGAGTTTAACGAAAAGTTGATCAAGATTTGGGCTGATGGACCGAGATGGTATGAGGTACGTTGTATCTTCCTCCTCTCCCCTTTAGCCCCTCTCTCGCTCACGATGGTCGATAGGTCGGAGCCCCGGCGTATCGCCAAATGCGTTGGGAAGGCAAAACTCCTCTTGCCAAGCCCATCGTCTTGCCGGAAGGTGTAAATGGTTCTCTTCCCTCCAGGGAAGCTGGACGAGAGATCCCATATCGAGTGTTTAAACCGAGTAGTGGAAAGAGTAAGGGGATACATATGCACATCCACGGCGGAGGATGGGTATTGATGAGCGAGGCTTAGTGAGTTACTATATCTCTTCGTTCCTGATTACAGATGCGGATACGGCAGGGCATGCAGTTAGATGTGATTTGCCCGGTTCTTCGTGGACGCAGAGTTTCAAAGGAGGAATGGTGAGAGGAGAATCAGGTTTCAAAGACCGACAAAGGTTGAAGGAAAGAAGAACTAATCAAGATATCTTAGCCAAGATCCCTACCTGAAATACCAAGCCGACCACTTCGAAGTAACAGTCGTATCAATCGGCTACCGCCTCGCACCTGAAGACCCCTGGCCCGCAGGCGCGGAAGACTGCTACGACGCTGCGGAATGGCTAGTCAAAAACGGACCTGAAGTTTTCGGCGGTGAACTCATGTTCACTGGTGGTGAGGTAAGTCTTCCCTTCTATAGTTTTCTCGTCGCAACTTGCTATGTTGAAATCACTTGTGCTAACAACATACAAGTCCGCCGGCGGCCATCTCGCCTGCCTCGTCGCCATGCACCTCCTCGAGACAATGCCAAGTTTCGCATTCAAAGGCCTACTTCTCCACTTTGGCTGCTACGACATGTCCTCCTTTCTGCCCCACGTTCTGCACCACGAGTCACACCTCGTAATCGACCACGACGTGATGAAATCTTACATTGACGCGCTGCTCCCCAACACCACGGAAGCTGAGCGCCGCGACCCATCCATCTCTCCTTTCTGGGCTGACCTCCGTGGAAAGAAGTTACCGCCTGCCTTGTTCACGTGTGGTAGTGAAGACCCGTTGTTGGATGATAGCGTGATGATGGGGGCGAAATGGGCGATGTGGGGGAATGAGAGCATAGTTAAGATTTATCATGGAGCGCCGCATGGATTCATTGGGTTCCCACCTGGAACTATTAAGAGCGTGCAAGAGGTTTTGGATGATACTGAAGCGTTTGTTCGGAGTAAAATTGGCGTTTAGTGGGGACATTGGTGGGTTGCGACGTGCAGATTGAACATGCTCAGCAGGTGTCTTCCAATTGATTTCTTAAGCCACATTCAACACGTAGTTAGACTTTTGGAATGTCTTGTTGAAAGATGAGAATTTGCGCCAACGCTTTTTAAACCCAAGAGGATTTATCTTCTCACCTTCAGTGGAATGGAAGTATTTCTTGAACTCGGCTCTTAGCAACACAGAAGTCGGATCATATATATAGCCTCGACCGACAAGCTGATAGACCGGACTTCCAACATGTGCGGATTCAGCTGGATTGCATTGTCGAAGTACAAGTGTCGTCGTGGATGACCCATATCTTGCCGAGCGATAGAGATCCCCCAGAAGTATGATGCGATCACCAGGTTCAATTCTCGTATCGCCCAAGCCGAATGAATGCACACCAGTGCCTGGGTCTTGAAAGCAAAATAAGGTTGCGGTGTCCCCCAGATTTTGATCCAGTTTGTCGAAAACATCTTGAACATCGGAAGAAGATGGCTTTGGACCGAAGTGCGCACCATCTGCTTCAGGTATCATCGACATCCTAGCGAAATGCCGTCCAAGTTGCGAAGACATATCGTCTTCGTCCGAATCTTCACAGGTAAAAGTCTCCTTGCCAACAAGCTTATGAATGATTTTGGTGAGAAGAGCGGGGAAAATCTTAGGGATGAGCTTAGAAGACGAATGCGCTAGCATTCCTGGAAAATGATCGGATCTTTGCACAACCACAGGGTTGGATAGCATTCTGTACAGCTGCAACAACTGTGATTGTAATGATGTTGCGGCATCCTCTGATTTTCTCGACATCTTCCATGTGACATTATAGAGCTGTTGATCTGTTTCGTCAGGGTAGTGCTTTCCAATGGGGATGTTCATCCGAATAACACCTGTTGCAAGTCGGCGAGCCTTAAGATCCACCCCATGATAACCATCTCCCAAGAGCCTCTGATAGGAAACTGGCATTGTTTGTCGAGGTGGAATCCGCCAATCCGGTACCCACGACGGCCAAGTGATCGGTCGAGGTGAGTATTGACGGGAAAACACGGCCTCCCAAATCAGCTCCGCCCCCTCTTTGTCTGCATTCAATCGAGCAAGCGCGAAAGTCTCGTAAGTTTCATCCACACTAAGCGCATAGTCAATATTCATGTAAATTTTATCACTCTGTCCATGCTCAGTATACTCTGTTTGTGGGTCGTCGTTTGTGCGGGGGGAGTCGCCTGTCTGGGAGTCGTGATCTTCTTGGAGATTGCATCTTGCCGGTCGGACATTGGTCGCCATGCTAAACAAAGCGAATATACGATCTCGTGGATCTGTACACCCATACAGTGCGAACTTCTCTACCAAGGCCACAACATCGGTGATCTCGGTGACTTCATCGACTTTTGTGATCTCATCGTCGGAATCGAATAAAGTCTGGAAGCGCGAATAGTGGCTCCAGAGTTTTTCAATTTCGCCAATGCCTCTTATTCTTACTAGGTCTTCAGGGTTGTTGCAAGAAGCCTCGAGCAGGGGCTTCACTTGACAAAGCCCAGCAATAAACCGGGAGAAGGGAAGATCCGTTTCGCCGCATATCAAGCGAACCTCTATACTGAAGACAACTTCTTGCACTATCCACAGTCTGTTAAACCAGGGAAGTTTCAAGAAACTTTGTACGCTGTGGAGATTTTCCTGTAACAATTCATCTCCATTCTTGGGCGCTCGAGATAGACGTTCAACTATCCGCATGCCTTTTTGCTCGATTGCAGTGTCTCCGCCCGGATCGAGCCAAGCCATGACACTTCGTGCACCCCGGAATATCTGGACCATCAGAGGGATTTGTATCGCTTTTTCTTCATTATCTTTCTGATTGATGCACGCAGCATCAGCCCAAAGCAGTCGTTCGCGAGTTTCGTAGCGTAGGTATCGAAGTGCCCGATCGAGATTCTCCGTAACATAGACCTGCATGCCATCCTCGCCAACATATAAGGGAAACGTCAAAACTGGTTTTCCCCACGTGTACGAAACAGCGTCGTAATCTCCTTCGATATCTTCGAGTTTTGATGAAACAAAGTCTATCCGTAGGGGCGTGGTCTTGGACAAGGCTGGGTGCAGCACAAGTAGTCTGATGTATTCCGGGCCTTCGAGTGTTTGATACGTATATGCGTTCATGCTGCCCTATTTGGGTCAAGCCACGGAGTGAAGGTAAATTGAGTGAAAGTTGAAGAGTGTAACGCGAAAGAGCGTTGGTCAGTCAAGTGGTTGGACAGGCAGCAATCTGCTGGTGAGTAGATAGCTTACATGCGGCGCGGTTGAGTGAGGGGAACGCCTGATCCAATCATCAACGCGCCTTGTCAGGTCACCTTGCATCTTCCCGTTTTTGGAGTGATAAGAGTGCGAAGTGCCGCACTTACATCTTGATAAAGTAGAGGTGTCCGGATACTGACTTTTGTTGTTAGTTCATTACGGACAACACGGGCTTCCTCTCAGCAAGGCTCGCGACTTTCTGCGATTCGCTGATGTCAGTCTTTCGAATTCTCCTCATTACAATCATAAGGAATTTCTAATTCAAAAACAGCAAAGCCAAATAACATGTCAAAATCATTGCTTTACATTCCTTTTTGTTGTGCGCTCCCACAATCGGATAAAAGGACAACCTACCGCAAGGGGTATTGAACCTAAAAGGAAATCCGTAAACTCATAGCTTTCGTGTATGCTCCTCCCGAAAAAAACTCCCAAGCTCCCAGGAAATATTTCTTCGACCCCCAAGAACCCGGAAATGCGATACAGTAAAACACAATGAGCAAAAAAAGAAAGGGGCCAAAGCCCACCAACTAACACCAAGAAGCCGAAGCTCTCATACACACACCAGGCGCAGAAGCGAGACATATCCACCACTGCCATGCACCTCTTTCTCTCTCTCATACACACATTTTCTCTTTCTCACATCTCTCTCCCTCCCTCCCTCTCTCTCAATCTACCCCCCTTAATAAACCTCCCCACCCTCCTCTTTAGGCTTATACATAATCGTCGTCAAAAACTTCTGCTTATACCTCGTCGTCGCACTCGTCGCCAAGATATTATCTTTAATACTACTCGTCGCCAAATGATTCAAAACAGTATGATTCGGATGAATCAACACACTACTATCATCCTTCATCGGCGTTGTCCCATTCAGAATACTCTTACCCAAAAACCCGGGTAAAGTAGGTGGGGTAGGTAAGTTATTCGTCATGGCGTTGCTGCGGGCGTAGCGCGAGGATTCTTCGGGAGCGTCCAGGTCGAGGAGGTAGCGGGGTATGTTTTGGTGGTATTTCTTGGTTGGCTCAGGGACTGGGGGTTTGGAATCGATGGGGGGCGCGGTGACGGTTGGGACGGGATTTGTGGTTGTGGGGGGGGCGGTTGCGTTGAGAGGTGGGGTTGGTGGTAGGACTTGGGGCGGGTACATGCCAACAGGGGCTTCGCGTTCTTGGACAGGTGTTATAGAGTCATCCAGAGGGTCGTTTGTCGCCGCGGTGACGGCTGGCGGGCTGGCGGGGAGGGGTGTGAGTTCTGGGTAGGGGACTTCGATGTAGTTTACGAGGATGTTGGTATAGTCTACGGCTGTGGGAAGTTTGTCAGATGTTCGCATGTCGTTGTCAACAAGGAAGGTAAGGTGGTGAGTTCCTGGGGTGACGGAGACGTAGGCGGAGAGGGCATCTTTCTTCTTGCTGGGTCCGCTATAGAGTGTCAGTATTGCCGGTGTGCAGTGTAACCTCGAAGGAGGCAGTCATCGAATATAGTCCAAGCCTGGTGGAAATGATTGACCGAATCTCAGCCCGAGTGGAGCTAGGGAGCCACCAAACGGGAGAATGCAGGCAACGGGTATGTGCAGGCAGATGTAGGCAGAGAGAGAATGAAAAACGTGGTTCCACCTCTCCAACCCACCACCCCCTGCATCTACCCGTGCGGCTGATGCAGGCAAAGTCCATACTCCGAGACATTCCAAGGAAACCGGTACGACTTACTTGCGATGCAACTTGTACTTGCGATTCCAGCCCGCAAAAGTTCCCGTAACATATACACGCTCCCCAGGACCTTCCCACTAGTTTTCCCCAAACGTCAGCATAAATCTCTTTAAACACCACCACCAACCACTCCAAGCAGAATCGGGAGAAGATTCAAACTTACCTCAATCAACGTAGGAACCGTAGGCCTCCCCTCACTGCCTTTAAACTCCTCGCCCAAATCCCCATCCTCATCTTCCCCAGCCGTCGTACTGCTCACCATGGAACTGCGCCTCGGAAGCATACCATCGGCATCGCTCTCGTGCACAGGTGTCCATATTTCACTAACCCCATTAAATCCACTGAGCTCCTGCGGCGCTATGATGGGGCTGCCTGGCGTGTGCACTTCCTCCTCGATAGGCAGGGGTAGGCGCGGTGGGCGGGAGAACTGTGAGGCCGAGGCGGGAATGAGGTAGTCGGCGGTTATGGAGGCGGAGGTTGGTGATGGGAGGTCTGAGGGAGACGAGGCGCGGGGGTCTGGATGCGAGGCAGACGAGGGGACATCGACGGGGAGGGTAGGCGACGGCGGGCGTGCGGAGACTTCGGATGCAGCTTCAGCTTCAGCTTCGACAGCTTGTTGTTGCTGGGCTGCGGTATCAGGTATAATGGCAGCGGCAGGCTGTGACGGTGGGGTGGTGTTCGCATCGCGGGGCGAGACATGGTGCTTGTCTTTATCCCTGTGGCTGTGCGCGCCGCCCTTCTGGCTGCTCTGCTCGTTCCCCATGGTGTCGCCAGTTCGGGTGCTGTGGGTGGTGTTGTACAGGCCCTGAGCAGCGCGCAGCTGTGTGGTGACGGCTTTGGTGCTAGTTCCTTCCGTTTGCGCCCTCCCACGCGAGATGGGGCGGGCCGACGTGGGATGGCTCTCAGCGTTCTCGAGGCTCACGCTGGGAGCTGCAGGCGCTTTGGCTGCACTCAGTGCCTGGATGGATTCGCGGCGGCGGGCCGAGTGGTGCTGGCTGTGTGGGGGGTGGAGATGGGGGAGGTGGTGGTGGGTATGCGGTCGGTCATGGCCATGTGATGCAGTCACGTTGTGGTGGTGGTTGCCCGCGGCATTGTTGGTGGGCGATTGCGGGTTCGACGTGGGCGTCGTCGACCGCGAATTCTGGTTCCCCATCACAGGCACGATGAGTGCATGGGTAGATCACGACAGATAGAGGTCAGAGAGCGTGCCCCCCGGGTGTCAAGCTATTACTAGGCCGGCCTACTTGGATGGAGCTGCAGCGGCCCACAGGGGTAAAGATTTCCATGCCAGTCAATCGCCGATAGCCTCCACCCCGCACGAGCCAATGACACCCATCGTGGGGCTAGTCGGCCCTGTCCAGCGTCGCCTTAGCATCCCACAACCACACCGACACATCAACGCGTCCGCTGCCATGGATGCGCGAACTGTTCTCGACATTGCCACGCGTGTCTCAGTTGCATTGGCACGCGTAATCTGGTTTCCCATCAGTAAAGCCATCAATTTAGTCATTATACTATTGCTGCCATTCTACAACGTCATCACTTTCTTCCTACTGCCATTCATCCATCTTGGACAGGCAGTTATCAGAGTGCTGTCCATACCATTCAGTGTCGAATGGTTGGAGAGACTAGAGGTAATCAGTTTGTCATCTCCTTCCTATATTGATACTGATTACACAGACACTATACGTCTACCACGGAACAGCCAGCCTCATAGGATGCATCACCGGCGCCGTCCTCTTCGCTGTCTTTAGGTTTCTGTCGTCAACTCTCAAGATAGATACGCCCGTTGTCCCCAGGGAGCATGAAAAGGGAAGAACAGCCGCGGAATACAGAGCTGCGCGACGTGTGAAGAAGGAGGATTCCATCGACCATTCACCCAGTGCATCGCCTGTAGTGTTGAAAAAGGTGGCTGGGTCTCGCAGGCGAGGTCTGCTCTCCCAAGCCATCATCGAAGAGGAGGATTCAGACTTTTGAACACGGTCAACGCGGATTGACGGCGTTGTTAGACATGTTCGCATCAGACACCAGGGTAGAATGTCCAGAATCTCTCCAATGTGATTCTGTTTGTGAACTGGGTCCGCAATATGATGGTGTTGCCGTTTGACTCAGGCCGAAATCGAACTTGTTTGTGGTTTTTGTGCAGCCATCATCCTTTGCGTCGATCGATAGCAAATCTAAGTCGGTTGGTGTGAGCAAGGTCGGCTTCTTTCGTAGAGGTTCCGTTTGTGGTTGCAAAGATATTCCAGGTTGTTGGCTGCCACTTTTCCGGCTTTGCGGACTGGAATCAGTCAGAACACGATATAACTGCTGGTTGAGTTTCTTCGGTAATACTTACGCTGGGGTGGCACCTTCGTTCTCATCAGTACCGACAATGGCAAGCCAGTGAAAGACTATGGCAGCCCATGTGACTGTCATGTTTGCATCAGCAGGATTCGATGGCTGATAGCAGCAAACATACCATCAAAGGTGCATAAAGTGAGGCAGATCTAGGAACAAGATGTTAGATCGGGATTCCTCGTTCGGGTTATCGAAATCTGAACTTACAAAAGCTAGTTCTTTCCCAACCAGAATGCAGATAGCCGCAAGGTTACTGCCAGTGGGCAAAATGACCAACACGCATCCAATCAAGGTCTTCTGGAGTAGGGTTTCGACTCTCTTGACGAGCGCTTTGTTCGATCTATGAAGGTCCATGGTGGCTTTCTGCTGTACTCGACCCAAAGTCTTGCTGATGCACAGTGTCACCCGGTTTACAACACCAGTACCGGAATTTGTATTATCCTTGACCAGAGGGCTCAGAAGATAGATGAAGACGGTTGTAAGGTAAAGGTTGATGACTATGTCGCACGTCAACAGCGGGATGGCTGCGTAACGCTGGAGACCTATACGACAGCGTCCATCCACCTCTGAAAGTACGTACTTGGGCGAGACGATGCCGGCGATACAAATAGCACCCAGACACACAACGATGGCGATCGTGCTGAGCAACCATAACAGGTCTTTATATCGGGGTGCATAAGGAGCCCGCAGTATGTGAGCCCGCTCGACGAGGAAAAGATACCTGCAAGTCGTGAATGTCAGCAGAAGTTGAAACAATATCCAAGTGGCTTGTAAAGACCATCGACTGACATTGATACTTTGCTGGCTGCATAGAACATAAGACATAGCATTACCGAAGCTTTGCAGCTACCATCCGTAGTAAGACCGAGGCCATTGTTGACGACCGCGGCGGAGAAGACGAATCCGATAGAAAATGTATACAGAGCAAAGATGTAGATCTGCGTCAACGTAAGGCGATTCCCCGACTTGCTTAGGAGATGTATTCGATGCCCTACTCGTGGTGGTTAACAGGTGCTGGGTAAGATCGATCCTGATGTGAGACGAACCGACCAGCCCCGACAGCACACATATACAGAGTTTCGATAACACGACGAAGATTGTGCGGTCTCCTCTGGGTTCGCCATAGACAACTGGGCTTTTCCGTGGTAACAATAACTCAATCGAGATCGGTGCAGGAGAGACGACTGCTGCAAAGCATATCCATACCCTCGCGGTGGTAATCATTGGGATCGGGCGTTATGCTGGTGCGCTAACAAGGAGTGGCTTAGATAGAGCGAAACATAGCTGGTAGGTATCGATAGGTCGTACGCGGGCTGTTCAAAGTATGAAACCAAGCAAAGTGGGAAAATTAGAGGTATTGCGTCTTCCGACTGCGATTGCACCATGGTTAAATTGGCGCGCTCCACCGCTCCTTTCCTCGCACGCCACATGGCAAGAGCTACAACAAGAAATAACTGTCATCTCCCCGCAGTCGCACTCTCCCCAAGAAGAAGGAAAACCCCTTTTGGTAAGATGATCACATATTGGCTCGCCACCAACCAGTTGCATCTTAACATGGACGTCTTTCTGCTATACCGTTAGTCATTGGTATTATCACAGTGCTTCGCTAGCTCGAAGATATAACGTCATGCGGCACTAGTAAGGCGAAACTAGATGAACAACTTCAAGATGGTAGCACGGATCGGAGAAAGTTGTCCACAAAGCTCTTGATAGAAATCCAAGGCACCGATCAGCCATATAGTTACAGATATCTGGTACATTTGACAACTACGAGGCTATTGAGATGCCCCTGCTACGCTATACCTCTGTAACAGCGCCACCATCTCTGTTTGGCCACGGTCTGAAGCTACCTGAAGTGCTTTGCCAACATCATCGTCAGCACCCCTTTCTAGTAACAGCTCCACAATCTCTTTGCGACCAAATTCTATAGCTACCTGGAGTGCGGTGCCACGTACTTCATCCCGTATGTTAACGTCAGCTCCTTTGCCTAAGAGCATCACCACGATGTCTTTATATCCCTTGAGTGACGCCGCTTGGAGTGCGGTGTCATAATATCCACCCTGTATGTTGACATCAGCCCCTTTATCTAGGAGCAGCGCCACAATTTTTTCATTTTCTTTGACCGAAGCCGCCTGAAGTGCGGTGCAATATTTCCCACCCCGCGCGTTGATCTCAATGCCCTTGCCTAGTAGTAGCTCCACAGTCTCTTTACGATTGGAGTATGAAGCTGCATAGAGTGCGTTGCCGGTTCTACTTGTCTCCCTGGTGTCAGCGCCCCCTTCTAGCAGCAACTCGATCACCCCTAGGTGCCCGTGCTCTGCTGCTATAAACAGCGGTGTCCTCCCATGTTTATCTTTACTATTGACCATAGCAGGTTCCACAGCAATTAACAATCTTGCTGACATCTCACAGCCGTTCTTGGAAGCCCACCAGAGCACACTCGCATCGTTCGGGCCTTGCGAACCTTCCTCGAACCGTCCAGATGTGACCAAGAGTGCAAGAAGTCTATCATGACCAAGCTCTGCCGCATTTGGAAGGAAGCCTCTCGACTTGACGTATACGAAGTCGCGCCTTGCAGCGCACTGGACTGACTTGTGCTGAAAATATTGTTCGCCTACTGTTGCAGCGAGGCTACTGTAAGCTTGTTGCAACTGGATGGATTCCATGCACAGTTCGAAAGCCTGTTCACTGCTCGTTGCAGCTGCAGCGAAAAGGGGACAACCGTAGCGCTCAGCCTCGACATCCAAACAACAGCTGGCTGAACCGAGAACTCTGATGAGATTCACCATGTTTAGTTCAGCTAGTATATAAAGCAAACTGACCGTTTCCGTATGTCTCCGCACCTGGTGCTTCTCAAGCAAGTTGTTGAGGTTGAGCCATTTAGGATGCTGAATGATGTTAAGAAAGTCTGTTTGGGAGATGCCGCCACCTTCTGCCGCGTCCGCATGATACAACACGTTTTGGACGGCATACTCCAGAAAAGGGAATTTCGAGGCTGCTGATTTGCGTAGACGTGCTGCTGGATCACTGCCTGCATCTGGTAGAGGGTCAGGAAGCTTCAAGGGTGTGGCAACGTCGATGCTAATGTAATTGAGACAACACTGCTTCAGTCGATCATGGCTCTGGCCTTGGAAATTGTTTGCGAACTCAGGCCAGATCTTGCTTAGTCCATTCTCCTTGAGCAGGAAGTCTCGTACCGACTCGTGTATGAACTGGACTTTTTTGTTCTTGGTTTTGGTAATCTCAGTAAGGCCCTTGGACGACCTAAGTAGAAACTTTCTGATCGTTTCAAGTGTGACTTCCTGATGATGCTGAGTGGCGAGTGCATCAGGCGCAGCTCCGGCAAGAATTGCAAGGTACAGCTGCTCTGGTTGTAATGGCTGTTTGGCAAAGAGCACCCATTGTAAGCACAGTATTAGTTCTTCTTTGTCTTTTGAGTCGCGTGTGAGTATGTCCTGAAATAGAGCGTGTAGATCGGCGGGGATTTGTTTCAACCTTTGCTCCAGAGCATACATCCGGCCGCCATCATACTCTTCATTCAGAATATCCACCACAAGCACGATCCACATGAACACACCGGAACTCTTCTCTTGCAAATCCTTCCGAATTTTCTGTGCGGTTGCGCCGGTTCCTATCCTCAAAGCACTCTCAAGGTAGTTGTTGATGTCTTGGGTGTGGCCTTCTTGTCCTTCAAGCACTAAGATGATGCCTCTCCGAATTGTGACTTCGGGATAGTGCCTGCTCGAAAGGCAGACTCGGAAAGACCTGCCGGATGAGACTGCAAGCTCGCCAAGGTTTTCGAAGAATGAAATCATGCTCCGAACCTGCCATTGTTCGCACTCGTCGAGCGCATCGATGAAGAAAATCACGGGCATTTCTCCGAGACTCAACACAGCCTGCTGAAGCTGGTCTTCGAGCGAGTACCTGGTCCACTGATAATCTGCGGTGATACTCGAGGGTACCAGACTCAGCGAGCTGGAATTGCACTGTAGTGTAGGGATCTTTTCGAGAAGCTGCAGCAGAAGCGACCTATACATCCCAATGATAGTCTTCTCGAGAGTCTCACCTCTGGCATTGAAGAAGAAGGCGATTGCAGTGTCGCTCTTCCTGGTTTTGCTGGCCTGGCCGAAAGCAAATTTCATTAATGTTGACTTGCCGGTTCCTGGTTTCCCTTTAATCCACAAGAAGCCGTGGTGGTTGGATAGTCTCGTCGGGTCGAGCCATTCGGTGTGCTCTGATTTTCGTAACAACCACTTGCATGTCTTGGCATGGGCGTTTTTGATCGTCGCGTAGCGTGCGTCAATTTGGTCGAACCGCAGCGACTCCATGAGTGCTTGCCTCTTCCCATCATCTGAAGACAGGACTCGATCCTGTACAATATCCTTTATTTCTTTCTCAAGCCTTTTAAACGCCGCTGCCCTCTCTTCTCCATATATTGCTGCCATGCTTACTCCAAATATCCCTAGCAGCGAGTATGCACCATCTTCTTCACGCTTTGTGGTACGATGATTAGCCCAGGACATGCGTTCTTCGATAGAGAAGTTGTGCAGTGACGTTCCTCGAAGAGCCGAGATTGGGATGCGCGTAACCTCGTGAATGTGTTGCTCTAGTTTGAATTTGTCACCAAGCGGCTCTTCATCGCGGGAGAAAAAGAGCACAACGCGAGGAGCAAGCAGTTCCTGGAGTGTCCAGCCTCGTGTAAACCACCTACTGGTCCGGAAAGCTGACACCCAAGTATCATCGGGCATTCCGTGATCGTGTGTTTCGTGATCCGCTTTTCTTTTCTTCGTGGTGACATCTGCTAGGTATACGTAGCATTGGGCCGAGTTCTTGTACCAACGAAACATGGACGTGATAGACTCCGAAAGCTCTGCACTGCTTGACTTATCAATGCAACAAGTGTCAATCCAGAAGTGTTGGAGGCCGTCTTTGCGGGCTTGCCTGGCACAGAAGTCTAACTTGGCATCACCGCTTTTCTTTTCCCTTTTCTCCTTGCGCATATCTTCATAATTCACTTCGTCTTTATCGTCACCCCAAGTGTGCGACAGTATGGCATACGGAGGGATGGGGGTGCCTTCATACTTGACAAGGCTGAAGCTGCCGTCAGCCTGTATTTGTACAAGCCGCATCGAGAGGCATTCGGAGCAGATGGTATGTCGAGTAATGGAATGTATTTCAAAGCGTTCTTGTATCACTTGAGGAGAGAGGAAGGAACAGGCACTGCAATGTGTGTTGTCGGAGGAAGGCTGAAGCGCGCGAGCTGAGGGTACGAGGCGGACAGGCAGAGTGGCTTAGACCACGAGGGGTCTGACCGCTCGTGCATATTGGGGGCGCGAATGACCTGATATGTGCATCGCTGCTGCACGTCAGTACTTTGATTCTACGACTACCTATGAGTTGTGCGAAAATTCATGGTTGTAGAATTCTCAATGTAATTGAGGTGTTGATGTCGTTGTAGCAATGCCGCCGACAGGGTAGTGACGTTCATGGTGCACAGGCAAGTGCCTTGTGCCAAGCAGTGGGCTGCGCCACGTGAGGCGCTTTCTGCTTCAGCTCTTGTTCACTGCCTAGTGAAAGATGATCAAACCTCCTCGCTATGCATCTGGATCACTAACTCGCAATCGGCATGCATCCTACTCAATCAATCCTCTATCACTGTTTCAAGCTTCGTATGTCCCATCATCCTCGCAAACAGCCAACGATAGCACAGGCGGGTGAGCGGCACGGTACTGTACCGGATGGCTTGGTGAGAAAACAAATTAGTAGTGCGATTACTGGCAGACCTTTCAGCGGACGTCGAGGCGAAAGACAACCACGAAAAAATAACACCCGGGTTCATGCTCTCTAAAAGATCAAAATACAAGTAACCGTGATGGAGTAGTCTAAGTAGTGTCTGTGTAGGATGTACCCTGAGCGACAAGATTGCGCTAAACCAAACAGGGCTGCTTGTAGGTGGAGAGCCTCGTAATGCGCAAACCGGAAACCGATTGTGCAAGGCAGTGTACTTTTGCCGCGGGGCTATCTACATTCGAACGTCCGTCGTCATTGTGTAGACGAGTCTTGGTTCGTACGTCATGAAGCTCGCTTCCAGCCGTGAACTCTCTCGAACAAGTACCGGGGTCGCGATAGCAGTCCAGGTTGCAATGCCAGTTCAAGTAACGACCGCGACATACTACTCACACCCCACTGGCTGCAGTCGAACACTCGACTAGCCTACCATAACTGGGTTTTGCCCAGTTCGGTGGGCCACGCTCCACTAGCCGCGGTTGTAAAAGCAAATTTGCCCGCCAAACACCCTAGCAACAGCTAGTGAGGCGTTGTAGTACGCAGCGGTTGCTGGCTTACCGCGGGTAATGCGCGGCTTCTTGGTAGACGTAAGTGAACTCTTGTGCTACTCTTAGCTGAACGCGTAAGAAGGTGGGAAACGTGTGGGAAGCGAATGTGGGAGATGTAGTGTGCTGCAAGGGCGCGTCATAGGCGGGACGGAAATGCCTCACGACACAGCCTCTCGCGTTTATGACCGGGTGTAGAGCTTGGTGCGAGAGTGTGTGAGACGAGGCTGTAGTGCTGGCTAGACAGTGAAATTGAAATCGGGCATGGTGGAGCAAGGCAACACGACAGGACTTTCACCGCAACGGTCGAGGCCGGTGTGGTCGCATCTCGCACCGTGTTAACATGTGAAGTGCCTGGAGGGGGCAAGAGCGTCCCGCGCTAACGTGGAGATCGGCCAGGCACAGGGGTCTGCGGGATAAGCGAGATTGGGCAGTCCGAGCACTGCCTCCTTCTAGAGCGCGCGCAGCAGACGCCCATCTTTTGTCTCACGCCTCTGCTCTTCTTCTCTCCCTCTCCCGCCAAGTACTAGACGGACGTTGCTGCTTGCCGGATGCTTGATTTGTACCTCTTTTAATACCTTATCTCTACACTGTTATCGCGACTTCGGCTCTCTTTCACCAACACAGCCCGTGCACGACGCTCCCCCGAGGGAAAGGAGACAGAGAACAACAACAGCAACCATGCGGAGAGGCGTCACCATTTTCCTGCTCGTCACCATTGTCGTTCTCGGCTTCGCAGTGCACAGCGTATGGACACTGCTCGGTCTTCTGATCGCTTCTGGTCGCGAAGATGCTATTCTCCGCGGAGAGCTCCCTGCGCCCAACTCGAGCGCTATCAATGAGACGCCGCAATTGATTCCCAAGATCATTCACCAGACGTACATCAACGAGAGCATACCGGCGCACTGGAAGGGTCCTCAACAGAGCTGCTTGGATCTCCACCCCGACTACGAGTACAAGCTGTGGACCGACAAGAAGTCGCGCGAGTTCATCGCTGCTGAGTATGTTGTAAACTACCGATGTGATAAGGCGTAATACTAACCTACCCAGATACCCATGGTTCCTCGAGACTTTCGACGGCTACCCGTACCCCATTCAGCGCGCTGATGCCATCCGATACTTTGTTCTGCACCACTTTGGTGGAATCTACATCGACCTAGACGATGTACGTACAACTCCCTCTCTCAACCACACCCATACTAATAAACTTAGGGATGCAACCGCAGCCTCGACCCTCTTCTCGCCTACCCAGCCTGGGTCCGCCGCACAATCCCCACCGGAATCTCCAACGATGCCATGGGCGCCGTCCCCCGCCACCCCTTCTTCCTCAAGGCCATTGACTCTCTGACCGACTACAACCGTCGCTGGCCCCTCCCCTACATCACCGTCATGGCATCTACCGGTCCCCTTTTCTTGTCTCTTGTCTGGCGCCACTACAACAACGCTTCCCCAGTCGACGAAAACCGTGTCCGCATTCTCTTCCCCGAGGAATACAACAACCACCCTTGGTCCTTCTTCACCCATCACCTTGGCAACAGCTGGCACAGGACAGACGTCAAGATCATTTTCTGGCTCGCCAAGCACTGGTTGCTGGTTACGATCCTTGGATTCGTGGTTGGCTTCACAATCTTGGGTATGCTGTACAAGTTCTTTGTGCTCAACAAGCGATCTACTGGCCCCGGCAGCCCAAAGATGCGCCTCTTCAACCAGAGGATGCCATTTTACCGCCGCATCAGCCAGAAGAGAAGCTTCGAGCTGGACGATCGCCATGAGGTTTAAGAAGGGAACTGTTGAGAACAGTTTTGCGTATTGCATTGTTTGAGCGTTATGTCCGTATCACGTGTCTTGCATTTCACCGGAGTTTCAGTCGAATCGCGACCGCCTCGCACTTTGGCTTTCTTATTCTACGCTTATCATCTTTTTTCTTTCTTCGCTTCTATCCATATTATTTGATCGAGGGTAGAATGCCTTCCTAGCTTGTTTTAACTGCTTTTGTGGGGGGAAAAGTCCGAGAAATACATGGGCGGGGCAATGGCGCTGTTGGTACACACACATTGGAAGAGGCTGGACCGCTGTTGTGGGATTTTGGTTGTCGAGGAAAAGATCCCTGAGGTATCATCATAGAAGGACCGGACCGGGACCGGCACAGTTCAGAAAAGACCGAAGAGCTCGGTTTTGTTGGAGATACTGTTGCATGTAGATATGTAGAAGAAGCTTTACTGCTTATGTTAATATGAAACGTACCTGCATTATTGGAGACGGCTACATTGAGCTTCCGCGATTAGTGATATGGAGATTATGGAATACATTGACTCTCAACATGGATACACTTATCTTAGCATCTGGTTCTCTATTTCATATCGCGCGATGTTTTTCTTAACTAGGTAGCTTATCGGGAAGCGTAGATTGTGGATTCAATCCTACTTTCAACCCCTTACCAGGGAGTGAAAAAAATATGCGAACAGGCGGGTAGGGCAATACGCGTTATACGAGCCTATCCGCGATTGGCTGATACGTGGGTAAGAGGTGGGGAAGGCGCAGGGGAGGCGGAGGGGTATACGGTAGATGTCTCATGTAAGACTGGTGGCAGTCTTATGTCAGAAAGATGGCTGTATTGTGTGTCGAAAATAGCGGCTTGTGAGGAGGAGATGGACGTCTCGAGACGTGTAAAGCAGGTAGTAGTCTGCTCGCACTTGAACCTGAGGAATCTCATGGCTGGAGCCTTGCGTTAAATACCCGGTCAGTGATTGAAATGGCATAGTCTTGTGCGAAAATCGTTGAAGTGTTTTTGAATCTGGATATGTATCATCCTTCGCAGCGACCTCTCATACGACATTGTAGTATAGCGTTCCGATTGGACAATCATCACAATATGAGACGCGTCTTTAAAGAGGCTCAGCAACATTGCTATTGATTGACTGGAGTGCATCTACATATTGGGCAGACTTTAGATTCTGACCTGATAAAACTCCATCGGAATTGAAAGAACAAAGACACGTTCCGGATATGATGGAGTCTTGGCAGGGTGGGCAATACGCGTTACAGGAGTGTGGCCGGGATCAGCCGGCACTCCCGCCTCGCTACATCCTCCCTGGTCACCGGCTTAACCCTTTGCGACAACACATCAAAGTCGCGAGGACCTCGCTGTTGGTAACATGTTCCTGGATGATGCGCAACAGTGCATGAAGTTTATTGACCATCGACAGCGCGAGATCATCATGTTGCTGCGTCGACCTGCTCTCGGGCCAATGACGCCAGCCCGCCACTTCCGTAACCGTTGCAAGCCTTCCGTCATCGTTCAGCACCTGCGCAAACAAGCAGCCATTCAACTTTGGAGCTACGCAATGTTGGAACTTTGCCTCTTCACTCTAAGTTTAGAAGTTGACAGCCGGTACCCGTTTCTCAGATCCACTTCTTTCTCATATCCTGATCTTGTACCTGACGTCTCTTCGTCTCTCCTCACATCACCTTCCATGGACGCGACTTGATCACCTGCCACGCCTACAACCAAATTACACTCTCTACATCACACATTCGGAACCCCGACCGACTGAGCATCACCAACCCTTACAATGGTCGGAACAACCCTTCAAATGCGCGAGGGCGCCGAGCTCGTTGGAGAACACGGATTTCGATACCTTCTTGTCAAACCCCTCGGCCAAGCCAACGTATGGGTCGCTGTCGACGCGGCTTCCCAAGAGAAGATCTTCATCGTAAAACAGCCCGGCGACGATGACGTCGGATATGGATGGCCAAAGTTTCAACATGAGATGATCATGCACGAGCTTCTCAAGGGCATCCCAACAATCAGACAACAAGTAGACCGTATCCCACCCACCAGGGGTGGCCCGCCACGAATCGTGCTCGAGATTCTTCAATCTACCCTCTGGGATGCGCGAAGGAAGCGCCAGTTCAGTGACGTGGAACTCAAGGGTATCATGCGCTCGGCATTGTTGGGCCTGCGAGACGTACACGAGCGAGGTCTGGTGTATGCAGGTACGTTTACATGCAGTACTCACTTCAAATGAGCCAACACAGCTAACACGGACAAGACCTCAAAATGCAGAACATCCTCCTCAGCGGCTTCGAAAACGAACCAAGCGCCAACGCAGAGATCGGCGACGACCGCATCACCGCCAAACTCGGTGACTTAGGAATCGTCATGGAGCCAGCAAAAGGCCTCGTTCAACCCATCGTATACCGCGCGCCCGAAGTGTACTTCCGCAACGAAATCAACCAACCAGCTGATATCTGGTCCTGGGGCGTGATCTACTGCCAGCTCCTCGAAGCGCAAGCTTCATTCAACAAATATGGTATCTACGACGAACTCCTACAGGGAAACTCAGGCCAAGGCCAGAAAGAACGTTCAGTTGAACGAGCTATAGCACATGATTTCGGACTGGGCGCCTTGGATTACTATGATGGGTGTCGACTTCCTTACCAGGACCGCTCACATCACGAAGGACAACACTGGGAACAACTAAAAGCCAAGGGTGTGCCGGAGAAGGAAATTAAGTTCCTGAGCTGGGTCCTCAACCCTGTCCCTACAGATCGGCCCACAGCCCAGCAGATCCTGGATGCGGGCTGGTTCACCATGGATACGGCCAAGACAGGCAAGATTGCCGACAAGTTGGAAGCGAGCGCTCAGGAGTCGAGACGCAGGAACATCCAGAGGAAACGCAGTGAGCCTTTGTTCACGTACTCGGCGGCGAAACAGCAGCCGACCGGGTTGTATACGAGGGAGCCTCCTACCACATTTTCTTCCACGCATACTTCATCCAACACTCCTTCGTGGTCTCCCACACCTTGGCAGCCACAGTCGTCGCAATCGTACTCGCATTTGCCACCTCAATCCCAGTCGCAACAGCCGTCGCAACCTCAAGGACAAGGATACCAGCCTACGCCATACCAGCCCATGTCTTTCAAACCCGTTACTATCCAGGCGAGTGAGGAAATGGGGAACAAGGCAAGGCCTGTTACGCCGAGATCCAGTACGCAGAAACCGAGTGGCAGTACGTTTTTGAACTTTGGCTCTTTTATGCGTTGAAGAAGAGGCTTATGGTGGGTTATAGGTAGAAGTACTGCTGGGGATATTGCGATGGCGGTTTGGAGCTTGGGGTTGTAAGTGGATTGTAGTTGGGAAGTTGTTTGTTTAGGGAAGGGAAGTGGAATTGAAGTTTTTTATGAATTATGTTTTCTTGTTATGGAAGTTTGGTTTGATGAAAGGTGGAGTATTAGTGTATTCTGGTATCGTTCCAAACTGTTTTACTAGTTAAGATATCATCAACGAATTTTCTAGTCTCTTCACCGATACGATCAGTGTACTCGTCCTGCGGGAAATAACCAGATAACCCAAACCCAATGACTTTCGTAACGCCCATCCATTCAGAGTATTCCTTGACTTGGTACGGTGGTATCAGCATACCTTGGTCTATCCAAAACATCAGTTTTGGAACTTGATTGCTGCCAGCCTTCAATCAACCCCAAAGTTGCCAAAGCAACATGCCTACCTCTGGCGAACGTCCTTCAAGCGGAATCTCGTTGGGAAACCACCATATGGGTTCACGATCAGACGGGTTCATTGGTAGGACGATGTTGGATTTTCGTGCATGAACACGACAATGTTTGCCGATGTGTTGGCATTGCGCGTATTGATGTACGCCATGAATGAATTAAGGGTTTTGGTAGTCTTCTCCTTGAAGGGAAAGTCCGGGGAAATCTCCTTCGTCGCCATCTTCGGTATACGGGCAGTTGATGAGGCGCGGATTAAGTGGCGTGAGAGCAGGGAAGCAATTGGGGTTTCAGATATGACTTGAGCCCGGCAGCGTCGCGATGAGAGGAACTTATAGCCACGGCTTCTTCAATCCAAACGTTTGAGTATGGATCTGTAACTGTGCGAATGTGAACATGTCAAGGGTATAGTTTCAGCTTACCGTTCGATCACAAAGCTTGAAATGGGTGTTAGTAACATTAAACCCATTGCTAATCATTCTTCAATGTAATCACCCTACTTTCTAATCATTGTGCAAGATTCATACTCTGATTTGTTCCTGAGATACTACAGCAACATTTTGAAAATCATTGTACGGCCGTAAGAGCCTCATTGTGGAAAGGAACGGCGGTTCTCACGGGACCCGGCGGCCCCGGCGTCAAGAGCTTCTGGAAATCACCAAGATCACAACGCTAGTTGCTTAGTATGGATTTGCATCTCTCCAGAGCACGGAGTAAACGAACCTGAACAGTATTGCCGTAGACATCCGCATGGAAATGAACAGACGTAAGAGATGGCACAGACAATTTCGTCCGGTACTGTCTGCTCAGGTGGTACCTATGTCCTTGACCGATACGTTTCTTCCTTTATATTTTCATAAGATCGCAACACTCTTATCATATACAATACCTTCACCTCTTGCTTCACTGTAATCGCCACACAATAACTTCATACAAAATGCCTACCCTGAAATTTCTCCTTGCCAGTCTTGTTGGCTCCGTCGTTTTCGCGCTACCATCAAGCCTCAGATCCGATTCTAGATCCGTATCCCAAACAACCTCGCACTCACCTGTCAACGTGGCTCAATTTGCCGTCGGAACATGGATCGAAAACCTGGCTATACGCCCGAATGGCAAAATCCTCATCACTATGATAACTCCGCCTGAGATCTGAGAAGTCGACCCTTTCCAACCGCCTGCATCAAATGCCACCGAACTGGTCCACCGCTTCGATACTATTATTGCCGATCATACTAGCGGAATCACCGAGACAGAACCAGACGTCTTCATGGTAGTAGGTGGAAATAGCATCTGGCGCCTCGACATGAACGAGGACCTTTCCAATCGCGTCTCCGAAGTCGTGAACATAGCACCCTCACGCCTCCTCAACGGCGTGACTACTCTCGACGCAAATGCTGGAATAATTCTTGTCGCTGACTCGGAACTCGGTCTCATTTGGCGCGTAGACACAAAGAGCTTGACCTACGAGATTGCTTTACAGGACGACACAATGGCACCGAGGGAGACTTTGAACCGCCTGATCGGTATCAATGGCGTGCGCGTCTGGAAGGACTACGTGTACTACAACAACAGCCCCCTTCAGCTTATATGCCGTGTTCGCGTGGATCGAGCCACTGGGCAAGCCGCAGGGCCGTACGAAGTCATTGCTCAAGGCGTTTTGGGTGATGATTTTGCTGTCGATCAGGATGGTACGGTATATGTCGCTGAAATGACTGAAAATGTTGTTACGCGTGTTCAATTGGATGGTAGTAAGGCAGTTTTTGCTGGCAACCTTAATTCTACAGATGTAGCGGGCGCGACATCAGCTGCATTTGGGAGAACAGAGGGCGCTCGCAATGTCCTTTATGTTACTACCAATGGAGGAATCTCTGCGCCGGTGAATGGGTCGATCGTTGAGGGAGGGAAGGTCGTTGCAATCGAGCTGTGAGCGGCATCGATAGTCCAAGTCCACTTTGGAGACGATGGTGTGAAATGCTTGATCATTCAGACCTAAGAAGGGTAGTATTTCCTTCAACAGGACTTTTGTGACATGCTTCTCATCATCTTCTTGCGTGCGAGCAAAAAGGTCAAATCGCTTATCACCTATTATTTACTAGCACTTACGTAGTAGAATAAACTACACATAGCACTAAACCTTTTGATCCACTATCGAGACTTTCTTCTATGACATGGTTCCGAAAGCTTGTTTTACACGGTCTCAGATCTGTCTCACGCCAGCTACCTGGGACCATCTATTGAATATGCCGGACAGGTCGAAAGCAATGATTAAAAGCTTTCGCTGGTTTGATGTTCAAGTTGGTGCCGGATATGAGCCATTATTGGAGATCTTCTTGGTGTCACGCCTTACGTTGCAGCCACAGTCCGTAGTGGACAGTTCGTTCTAAGCGCCACGATACTGGCTTCCTTGTGCCTAAGGTTACTGGAAGTGCAGCCATCTTCGCACCAAGAGTATACATATGTACCTTGGCGAAAAGGATGCGCCTTGGCCTAGTCTTCATGTTCTTCAACCGTACATATGCCTCTCACGAAAAGGGTATGACGCCACAGGCACTCCGCACATCGCAATGGGCCGCGCTGGAATCCTATTCCGAACATGCAATCCACTGGTTTCCGCGTGCACAACGAAATCGAGATCATGGGATCGAACGGGGTATCGTATTAAGAAAAAAGCGTACCTCAGTCGGTCCTCCACCCAACATACACCTCGTCGGTCCTGAAGCGCTGTGTACATGTCGTATCTGTCAACTCCGTCTTCACTCCAGTACTGTATTCCAGCAACCCCGCATGTGCAATCATAATGCCGTTGTCGATACAAAACATCTCGTCTGTCGCAAACACATTTCCACCTCTGTCTCTTGCCATCATGCCCATCATTTGCTGTAGTCGCATATTCGAGCCCACACCACCCACGACCAATACTTGCTGCGACCCAACATGTGCCATAGCGCGCTCTGTTATCTCAACCAGCATGGCGAAAATGGTTTCCTGGAGAGAGAAGCACATGTCCGCTCGTGTGACCAGCTCTCCGTCTTCAGTCTTTAGCCGTTTTGCGTCCGGTAATGACTCGTCTAACCCACGTGCCAGCAAGTCCGCTGCAGCCAAGATACCCGAGAAACTCGCATCCATGCCTTTGACTCCATATGGTAAATCGACCAGGTTCTTCCCCTTCTTGGCTAACTGTTCAACATTGTAACCAGGAAATGGGTCGTTGGGGATCATCAGTGTGCGAGCGAATCGATCGATACAGTTTCCTATGGCGATATCTAAGGTCTCGCCGAAGATACGATACCGTTGGGCAGAGTAAGCGATGACTTGGGTGTTGCCGCCAGATACGTAAAGGACGACGGGGTTATCGGCGCGCGTTATCGAGCGACCCATCTCGATATCTAGCATATATTAGCCAGTAATTTTGACCGTGGAATCGCAATGACTGACGGCCGACGCAGTGGTTCACTCCCACCATGGGCTTCCCCCATAGTAGACTGATTGTTCTAGCTGCAAGCGCAACGCTTTGTAGCGGTGCACCCATGCCTGGGCCTTTGGTGTAGCATATACAATCAATATCCTCAATCTTGACTCCTGATTGTCGCACAGCTTGCTTGATTAGCCTCACAACCCATGCTCGGTGATGTATTGCTGTGTCTTTGGGCAGGAAGCCTTCGCCGGGCGGGGAAACATATGTGTGTCGCAGGTTCGCAAGGATGATGGGAGGTTTGTTTGGACCTGGATGAGAGATGACGCCCACACCTATCTTGTTGGCGCTTCCTTCTAATCCTATGGCAATCATCGTGGCGGCAGTCGCGGTTTGGTGCTGGTGTTTGACGCGTCGAGGCGGGGTGTCGTTGGAAAAAGCTATCGATAAGGGATGACATGCATGGTAGGGCTGAAGCCACCGCTCGGCAAGCAACAATGACCAGTTGCTCTGTCAAGCAAGCCGCATTTTTCCAATTGCCTCGTCCCTTATAGATTCAGAGCATTGACGACACGATACTTCACAATCGCAGATGTTGTTTGATCAATGGGCAAGATACAGCGAACAGGGCCGTCAGCTCGCGAAGGCGCAAGGATCCAGCAAAAGGAATATAAGACCAGGTTCTCTTATACACTTGGGAATCTACGCGATGGTCTCTTTGCCCGCACCCATCATGCCGCATACATTTGTGCGCATGCAGTGCGCATGCAGCGAGCAAACCGACGTTCAAAAAGTTCACGAGCAGACGTCACCGCCATTAGTCATGTGCTGCAGGGTCTGATCACTACCGCAACAAAGTCCACTAATTACTTCACTCATCTTTACAATCACTTCAACAAATCCACGTCTTGCGAATTTTGCTTACTCCATAAAGTCTTTAAAATACAATTATTGCGGAGCGTCGCAAAACTTGCGTATCCCAGCCACAGCAATTCGTACTCCGCTCGGACCAAGCAGCCTCGGTTCCCCGTTGGAGCCGCTAAATAATATCCACCAAATATCCAATCCTCCAACTCTTCAAAACATCCCACATTGCACCAGGATCTCTGCGCATGGCAGACTTCGACAGCGCCAGTCAGAACTTTCTGACATGGCTTAAGCAATCTGGAGCGGAAATCAGTCCAAAGATCAACTTGGAGGATCTGAGAACCAAGGATGCTGGACGAGGCGTTGGTAAGTAGCTACTCCACTCCAGTACCACACCCCGACACCACAGACTCACTCTACGTCGCTACAAACTTTTGCGACATGCGATAAACCGTAAAGCTAATTCAAACAGTTGCAACCCAAAATATCGCCGAACATGAACTCCTCTTCCGCATACCCCGCGCCTCCATCCTCAGTGTCGAAAACAGCATCCTGAGTACCGAAATCCCCGCTTCAACATTTGCGCTTCTCGGCCCCTGGCTATCCCTCATCCTCGTCATGCTCTATGAGTATCACAATGGCAGCGCCTCGAACTGGGCGCCTTACTTTGCCGTCCTACCCGCCGACTTCAACACCCTGATGTTCTGGTCCGACGACGAACTCGCCGAGCTCCAAGCTAGCGCCGTGGTGAACAAAATCGGAAAGGAAGGCGCAGATGAAGTCTTCACGGAGCAATTACTACCCGTGATAGAAGAGTTTGCGGAGATAATATTTAGTGGGGATGAGAGAGCCAAGGACAAAGCGAAGGAGATGCGCAGCCCGCAGAACCTGGAATTGATGCACAAAATGGGTAGCCTAATCATGGCTTACGCATTTGATGTCGAACCAGCGACACCTAGCAAGGATGTGGACGATGAGGGTTTTGCTGAGGAGGAAGAAGACGCTGCACTACCTAAAGGCATGGTTCCGCTAGCTGACATGCTTAATGCCGACGCCGACAGGTGCAACGCGCGCCTGTTCTACGAGAAAGACTGTCTAGAGATGAAGGCGCTCAGCCCAATTACTGCAGGCGACGAGATTTTCAACGATTATGGTTCGCTGCCCCGAAGCGATTTACTAAGGAGATACGGCTACGTCACCGACAACTACGCACAATACGACGTTGTTGAGATTCCCGCCGAGCTCGTCACTGATATCTTAACTAAGGAGGGTGTCTGGCACGCAGACAGGTTAGAGTACCTGGACGAACAAGAGGTCATCGATACAGGCTACGACATCGCCGCCAGCACGCCCTTTACGCTTCAAGAAAGTCTCTCTCCCGAACTCGTCGTTTTGGTCGAAAGTATGCTTCTTCCTGCCGAAGAGTTCGAGCGCCTTGCTAGCAAAGGCAGACTGCCTAAACCAGAGAAGATGACCAGCCAAGGAGCGGAGCTGCTACTGCAAATCATCCAGGCTCGCATCGCGCAGTACGCTACAACGCTGGAACAGGACTTGCAGACATTTGGCGAGGTTCCGCCTGCCGGGACGACGTCGCCTAAGCAGCGAAGATTTGCTATGGCAAAGGCCGTGCGGATAGGTGAGAAACAGCTCTTGACGAACACGAAAGACGCGTTGGCAGAGAAGATTGCAAGAGATGGTGGTGCGGCGATGGCGAAGAGGCAGAGGGTTGTTGACGAAGAAGGAGATGTGGAGATGGGCGGTACGGGGAAGAAGCACAGAGCGTGATGAAAATCACTGCATGCATCAAACCCTGTCGTGAACCGCATCACATATGGTGGTTTGACAGAACGGTCACCAGCATCTGGCCTCCACCCGAAAATGCGAAACATAAGAGCGAGAAAAGAGGTCGTAAAACAATTATGCGTAAGTTTCTTATTTTTTTTGTCGCCAGCCAAAGTCCTTGCGGCACTTCACCAGGCGTCTAAATATGTATATCCAAGTATCGACTTGCTGACTTGTTATGTCTAGGTAACCTTCGCACCTCCCTTCACCCACCCACCAACCATCCAGCATTGCCTCCTCCTCCCTGAATTTAAAAGGCTACTGTACATAACTTTGGTAGATCTTTGGAGCCAGCCCACCGAGCCAATAGAAAACAAAGGGTATAACTTGTCGATAAGTAAAGCGCTAAAAGAAGAAGAGATTGTAAACTGCGGGAATTTATCTCCCGGAAGAACCTCCAGCTGCGGCAGTTGTGGGTGTAGGAGGAAGAAGATGGCCGGATGCAGATCGATTGTGGTTTTCAATGGACCGGCGATTCGGATTTGGTGGAGGCTGCTGAACCGCAGCCTTCTCGCCCTGGCGCTCAATCATGATGCGATACCTGATGTGCAGATTGTCTGTCCAGTCGACGGGATATGTCTCCTCATCTTCACTGCTGTCGCCAGAGAAGCGCCATCGATCGGCCAAGCGGTCGTCTACCCTCTCGGTCTTCTGACGCTTCACGCCTCGGCGATCGATCATCATACGCCCGCCTCGACCAATTCTACGACGGAAGCGAGATTGATCATGGAATGGAACGTCATCTGGAGGAGTGGCAAAACGTATGCGCGCACTTCTCCGTGGGTCTGTCTGCTTACTCGACGGCA